AGGATTTTTACTGAAAACCTTTTACTTTTGGACATTTGTTATGATGTGTGTTATGTGTCACCATAGCAACAAGGTGGTTTTCACAACCGGGAGCAGCTGATTAACATCTCAAAACTCAATATTACCTCAAATACAGCCCCAAATCCCAAATGAGTTGTAAAGGAGGCGCCGTGGATGCATCTCCGTCTATGTGGCGGAGGTGCTCGACTGACTGACTGCCGAGATCCTGGAGCTGGCAGGAAACGTGGCTCATGACAACAAGAAGATCAGGATCATCCCCCGACAGCTGCAGCTGGCTGTCTGCAATGATGAGGAGCTCGACAAGCTGCTGGGAGGAGCGACCATTGCTCAGGGAGGAGTTATGCCCAACATTCATGTGGTCCTGCTGCCCAGGAGAACTGAGAGGTCCGCTGGGTCCTGGTGGACAGATCGGCATCTGAAGCCAGTTTCTTCAGATCTGCTGTGGGACGGACAGCTGTGGGATGGACAGCAGCAGGAGATCCTTCCTGCCCGCAGCCGTTAGCATATATAACAACCCTCAATGAAACTAGGATGATGAGCTACAACATTTAATTTTTCTTTGGGATTAATAAAGTATTTAGAATTGAATAGAAGAAAACTACACTTCCCGTGACACCAAAGTTCATGCTCTATCATCCAGGTATAAAATCCAACACTGTTCAGTCAGGTCATCTGGACGGATTATTTCATTGCACTTCCTGTGATTACCCCGACACCAGAAGCAACTGGTCTCCATCGATAACATGCTCGTCTGATCCTGAACCTATGCAGATAGGGAGTACCCAACTCACCCCTGAAGAACGTCAATGCCATATAACCCACAATGAGTGCCTTTATTGTGGTAAGAGAGGTCATGTTCTTGCATCATGTCGGCTACATTTAAAAGGGAAAGCTCACCAGTTAAACAGGAGATACTGGTGGATATTTCTTCTGTATCTCCTGGAAATTTTTTTATACCTTCAATCCTGTGTATTAACACCACCATCTTTCCCATCCAGACTTTAATCATTTCTGGGGCAGAACTAAACCTGATCAGCCGGAACCTAATTGTGAAGTTGCAGATACCCACGACTGAATTAACCCCTGCTGTTTCCGTGGCTGCCTTCACTGGATAAACCATCTCCTCTATCTTCCAAAAGACAATAAAGATTAAATTTGTGGTTTCTGGAAATCATCATGAGGAAGGTGAGGTTTTGTCTTTCACTCTCCTAAACCACAACTGATCTTGGGTAGTCATAACTAAAGAAACATAACCCACTCATAAACTGGTCAGAGAATAGATTAGCTAAATGGGGTGATTCCTGTTCTGAGAATTGTTTATGCAGAGCCATCTCCCCCAGTGTGTTTGGTAAACAGCTCCAAGAAGAAAATAACCTTTTTAAAGTTCCCTCACTCTACATTCCTTAACTCCGGTGTTTAGTAAACAACAAGTATTGTCTCTACCGCCACACAGACCCTTTGACTGCCCCATAGATCTCCTTTCAGGTGCCCCATTACCTTCAAGCAAATTGTATAATTTGTCAGGCCCCAAGAAGGAGGGGAGTGGGGCAAAAAGTGTGTGTGCTGGGTGAGTGGGGTCCTTCATGAACAGGTGGACCTCTTTCTCCATCTGGAGGTGTAGATGTCTGTGATGGTGAGGAGGCTGACTCCAACATCTTCTGTGCAGCCTTCACCACTCTCTGCAGAGCTTTTCTTTCTGCAGCTGTGCAGCCTCCATGCCACACGTTGATGCTGGAGCACAGGATGCTCTCCACTGCACACCTGTAGAAGGAGGTGAGGACTGAGCTTCCCAGTTCATCCCACCTCAGCCACCTGAGGAAGTAGAGTTGCTGATGAGCTTTATTGATCAGGCTGGTGGTGTTGTTGCCCCAGCTGAGGTTGTCATCAGGTGCACATCCAAGTACTTGTACTGGAGACCACTTCCACCACAGATCCTCCTATGTTCAGGGGGGAGTAGGTGTATTTGCTCTGTCTGAAATCCACAACTATCTCCTTTGTCTTCTTCATATTGCTGTGAAGACTGTTCTTCTTGCACCAGCTCTCCATGTGTTCCACCTCTTGCCTGTAGCCAAACCCATCATTGTGGTGCATCCAACCACTGCTGTATCATCTGCAAACTTTACAAACTTTAAATCCACCCTGAGAAAGTTATTTTGGACCCCTGAAGCAGAAACAGGCTTTCAAGATCTTAAGCACCTTTTCTCCTCTGCTCCCATTATCTCCCCTGACTCAAACAAACAAATCATCATGGAGGCGGATGCCTCAGACTCAGGGGTGGTGGCTGTGCCATCTCAAAGGACATAGGGCAATGGGAAATTACACCCTTGCACTTTTTTACCCAACGCATCTCTCCGGCCAAACAAAATTATGACATGGGCAACAGAGAACTGTTGTCCATAAAATTAGCTCTTGAGGAGTGGAGACATTGGTTGGAGGGAAGTGAACTGCCTTTCATCATTTGGGCTCACCATAAGAACTTGGCATATATTCAGACTACAAAAAGACTAAACGCAAGACAAGCCAGATGGTCACTATTTTTGCAAGATTTAACTTCTCTATTACTTACATTCCAGGCTCACACAATATTAAACCCAATGCCCTCTCCCACCACTTCTCATCCTCAGAGACACCTGACACCCCAGTAAGCATCTTACCTGCATCCTGTACGGCAGGAATCATGACCTGGGTCATTGAAAAAAACATCAGGGAGGCACAACAGATCAAATCAGATCTAGGTACAGGTCCTCCTGGGAGGATGTTTGTTCCTACCGCAGTGGTCAGCAAAGTACTTAACTAGTTACCCACAGCTAAGTTTACATGTCACTCTGGCATCACATGCATGCTGCGCCTTACTAAGGAACATTTCTGGTGGCCAAATATGTCCAACAATGTGAAAGATTTTGTTTCTGGCTGACCAACTTTTGCAAGCAACAAAAATAATAATAAACCTCCTGAAGGCCTCCTCCTTCCACTGCTGTCGCCCAGTCGCCCATGGTCCCATATTGTTCTGGACGTCATCACTGGCCTAGCTCTATAGGTAGGATAATGTCCCAGCGCTGAAGGAGTGTTTGGCAGAGGCTTTTATACTCCTGCAGAGTAGTCCTCCAAATCATGGTCAAGATTTGGGACCTAGGGATCCAGAATACTCTTCTGGACCATAGCCTTCCCTGTCCACCAGGTAATGGGAACCTCTACCCCATCGTCATACGTCCAGTAGGTGCCTGACTGTGAATGCAGGTACATTTTCAATT